CCTCTCAGTTGCCCAAATTATCCTTCATTTTGATATCATGCAGTTCCAAGGCCTGGGCCAGATCCGTATGGACGGCCTCCACCTGGGTATCCGCACTATCCTCCGCCAAACTGGAGGCTGTTTGGATCCTGGGCCACCTTGGGCCATTTTGGACCATCCATCTTGATTTGTCAGGCCACCTGGGGGCCCTGAAGGGCATCCCTATGGCCCGCCAAGAGCCCAGATTCTGCTGGATGAAATTTGTGGCTGTTCGGTCGTTTTCTATCCTTTTCTTGTGTATTTAAAACCGTATGGTCATATTGGTCATATTGGTCATATGGGTCATATTGGTCATATGCAAAATGACAAGGGGAATGCGGATGGGGTATCTGCTCCAATTTCAAAATCAGGATCTTTCTCACTTAAGGCCTGGCCCTGCACGGGCTCCAAAAGCTGCCAAGAGAGGTTGGGTGATTGCTCAGATTGCTTTCATTGGTTCTTGAAGTGGGTTGAAGATTTATCTTGGTGCCAGGTAGAAGCAGAAGTTGCAGCTCTGGCTCGTGCTCCGAAGGGACAGTAGCTAGAGAAGAGGGTTATCTGTGCCATGTTTCATTTTTTCTGGATGGGTGAGAAACAAAAATGTCAACTTTGTCCGGCAGCGGGTTCCGATGGCCTGGCCACCAGTAGCAGCTGATGCGAACGGGAAAATGCAGCCAAACTATTGGTCCATGGACACATGCAAGGCGCTGCTGTACACTCGAACTGACGGACATTTCTTTTTGCTTTTGCCGCTGCTTTCTCCTGCCTTCTTGCTCTTGCTCCTGGCCTCTCTTGCTCTCCCTTCTTGCTCTTGCTGCCTGACGGCAACGCCTCGAAACGTTCAGCTGCCAAGGCTTGAAAAAGCGCCTTCGTCAGCCTCCGGGCGACGGCCTGTCTGTCGCTCTCTGAAGCTACAACTGGCTATCTTTTTGCTTTTGCCGCTGCTTACACCTCAAAACGTTCAGCTGCCAAGGCTCCAAAAAAGCGCCTTCGCCACATTCAAACACCATGGCAGTGAAGGACGGAACGGTCCTCCGGGCGACGGTCTGTATTTTTGCTTTTGCCGCTGCTTTCTCCTGCCTTCTTGCTCTTGCTCCTGGCCCTTCTTGCTCTTGCTGCCTGACGGCCACGCCTTGAAACGTTCAGCTGCCAAGGCTCGAAAAAAGCGCCTTCGCCACACTCAAACACCATGGCAGTGAAGGGCGGAACGGGCCTCCGGGCGACAACCTGTACTGCCTAGCGTCGCTCTCTGAAGCTACAAGACACTAGCTATCTTTTTGCTTTTGCCGCTGCTTATCCTGCCTTCTTGCTCTTGCTCCTGGCCCTTCTTGCCCTCCCTCTTGCTGCCTGATGGCCACGTCTCGTTAAACGTTCAGCTGCCAAGGCTCGAAAAAAGCGCCTTCGCCACATTCAAACAGCATGGCAGTGAAGGCCGGAACGGGCCTCCGGGCAACAACCTGTACTGCCTAGCGTCGCTCTCTGAAGCTACAAGAAACTAGCTATCTTTTTGCTTTTGCCGCTGCTTATCCTGCCTTCTTGCTCTTGCTCCTGGCCCTTCTTGCCTTCCCTTCTTGCTCTTGCTGCCTGATGGCCACGCCTCGACACGTTCAGCTGCCAAGGCTCGAAAAAAGGGCCTTCGCCACACTCAAACAGCATGGCAGTGAAGGGCGGACCGGGCCTCAGGGCGACGGCCTGTACTGCTTAACGTCGCTCTCTGAAGCTACAAGACACTAGCTATCTTTTTGCTTTTGCCGCTGCTTTCTCCTGCCTTCTTGCTCTTGCTCCTGGCCTCTCTTGCTCTCCCTTCTTGCTCTTGCTGCCTGACGGCAACGCCTCGAAACGTTCAGCTGCCAAGGCTCGAAAAAAGCGCCTTCGCCACACTCGAACACCATGGCAGTGAAGGGCGGAATGGGCCTCCGGGCGACAGCCTGTACTGCCTAGCGTCGCTCTCTGAAGCTACAAGAAACTGGTTATCTTTTTGCTTTTGCCGCTGCTTATCCTGCCTTCTTGCTCTTGCTCCTGGCCCTTCTTGGCCTCCCTTCTTGCCCTTGCTGCCTCTCCTGCCTTCTTGCTCTTGCTCCTGGCCCTTCGCCCTCCAGTCTACGGCACCTAACGTGCGCTTTCTTTCGCCCCATTTCGTCCCTTTTTTCTATCGCGCTGCCATTTTGCTCGCGTGCTCTTGCTCCTTGCTGTCTTGGTTTCTCTGCTTCCCTCTTTCTGGCTCTTGCTGTTTTCTCTAATCATTTCTTGCCCCTGGCTGATTGTAATGTCTTCTCTGACGCGCTCCCCCTTGCCGTTGGCGGGGTCGGCGGATATATATATATATCCGCATCCTACACTGACCATGAGGAGCACACTTTGTTTTGCAGCCACTCTGGTTGATTGCCAGCAACCAACAATCACATTACGACTATCACATCGTGAACTCAAGGTACACATACAGCTACAGCTACACGCCAAGCCCGGAAAGAGCGGCCCAGATCTCAGAAGTTTGGCCATGGAAAGTCGCTGACCTTTAGCGGCAGCCTATTGAGACACCACTTCCGAGGCACCGAAAGCTGGCGCATCACTCAGATGAATTTCGATGCGCCGGTGGGGCAGACACAACCAATCAGCATGAAAACAAAAGGAACAACTTGGGATTGGTATGACATAGGGGTGCTTCAAGCTTAGCGCAGGATCCTGGAAAGCTTCTGATGTTTTCCTTCAACGTACCCGAAAACAACCTCTGGCAAGAAAATGGCTACCTCCGAATACTGGAAATCAAGGCCAAATCTTTTGCTCTAGTCAAAAAACATCATTTGGCTTTGCCTGAAAATTTTGGAATAGATTTAGAACATCCCTTTCCCACATTGTTCCTCGTGAAATTGCCACACATTTTGCCCTAAAATCCATTGTTTTCCCATTTGGCTGCTGTTTACCTTGGTTTTTCCCCGCCAAAATCATACTGCCCAGGTGCGCCTCCTCCAGGTGCTGGTTATGTTTAGTGACTGAGAGTTTTTTTGTGAAGTTGATGAATTTCAAATGAAACCATATTGATGTTCAGTGCTTCCTTGGTTTGGTTCTGGGGAAAATTTGGTACTGCAATTCATTGGATTGTTGAGGGATGTTCGGAATGTTTGTGTTTTTGTTGGTTTCCTTTGACTCTTCTCATTTCCAAACCGGAATATTCTGAACTAGTCCAACATCAACGCCTTGCATAAAACACAACAGCCTCATTGACCACAGAGAAACAGAGTGAAACTTAGGACAGCACATTCCCAAGACCCTTCACTGGGAAAAACATCAACGGCTAGCAACGCTTGAACATAAAGACATAAGTAAGTGACAGTAAGTGACAAAAACACCTAAGAACTCACCTAGAGCCTGTGGTCTACCTTTGGAATGAAGAATCCTTAGAAGTTTCATCAACTTTCTGCCTTCCAGGTGCACCGCCAACTGGGCCACCTGGAGTGTTGACGCCAGGGCCACCACCACCAGGGCCTGCAGGGGAACCCAATGAATGTTGCAAGGTGGTTCCCCATCAAAAGAAAGGGAATTCTTGGGTAAATCGGCAAATCTCTTATTTGTTGGAGATTTCCGGAATCTTTCCTTTCGGGAGATTTCCGGACCCAAGTCATACTGAAGTCTTGGGATTTTGATGAAACTGGAATGTAGGAATCGGAGCGAATCAGCGGATGTATCGTGAATTCACTGACAGGTTACAGTATACAATGACACTGGCACTTGGAAGAGCATTCTGTCATCATTATGTCCAAAAACGAGACTTTTGCAACAAGAAACTAGTCAACCTCAGTTGTAAACCTTCGATCTTGAAACGTCTTCTCCCAGGCTCCGTCATGAGGCGTGAAGCTTCGATATCCGCAGTTGAGCAATCGAGAAAATGTATTTTTGAAACTCCGTAGTTTTTGAACAAAATTAAATCTACTCAGATGGATTCAGCGTTTGACTGGACTTTCTGAAGTTGCAACTTTGACCGTCAATTCAGTCAATTCTCTGAAACAGTGCCGAAGGACTTGGTGCAATGAGGCCACCAGGACCAGTGGTTCCTTGTCATTGAGTTGTTGGATTTGATGATACAATTTTGGTTTCCCAAATCATTTCTCTTATTTTTTTCAAGTCTCATTTCGCACTGTAGTTCCATGTCTTCCAAGGACATGTAGCGAAGTGTGCCAAGTGTGCTGTGATTGAATGAACTTGAGAGATGACCTTTGGTGAGGGCCAAGTCGGGCCAAGTCTAGGGCATCTAGGCGGCCCTGAAACTTTCACCTGCACTCTTGGTCCCAAGTGGAGGTGGAAGAAGGTAGAAGCTCTTCTCCCAACAACGAATCATCAATAAGTTTCAGCCTTCAGTTTTGTATTCCCTGTCGGGACTTTCCATTGAACCATACTTGAACTCTAAGTCAAATTCCCGGGTTTCCTGTTTTGTCCCTCTAGAAGCGAAGAACGTTGGTTGCGCAGCAAAGGTGCGGAGTGGGAGGTTTGTCCGAAGCCAGTCGTGCACCTATGACGCTGGGAGAAGAAAAGCAGCGAGCACTTCATAGCCGCAGAGTCACACCAAGAGATCAGTGGAAGACGAAACCTATCAGGAGTTTTCGTCCTTATAGGGTATCACTTTTTTTGGATGCGCAGCTTTTTTGGTATGGAAAGCACACAAGGGGCAGTGCAATGAAACCCTCTCCTGGATGTGGTATGTATAGTTTCTTTGTGGTTCCTCCTCTTCCTTGCTCTATATTTTGAAACGATTTGATGCACTTGAGTTGCAGCAAGCGGTTTCCGTTTCACCAGTTCTTTATGCCTTGCCCCGTAGCTGTTCCAATTCCAAACCCGCTATGGGCCGGATTCATGCACAAAGAAGCAATTCAAATGACACTACCCCTCAGAGTTTTTTGACAACAGATTGAGCAAGGATGAACGAGTTTAACAAACAACATTGTCACAAAACGCCGCCGGTGAAGCAATTTGTCAACTCATTGCACAACATGGGCGATCTGTGGGTCGAAGTCCGCACAGGAGAGAAGAGGCGCCAACGGATTCTCGAAGTGACTTCCTCACAAAACAGTGCATTACTAGGAGGAACCACCCCAAAATGGCCTTGCAACAGGTTGGCGCAGTGCTCTAAAATTGTGATTTATCTACATATAAGTCAGCTATATTAGAGTTGCTGGCTGGCGCAGGTACTACTGGAACGCCACCAACAATGTGGACGTTCTTTGGGATCCTCCTCCAGGTGTAAGGCTTGAGGGCACTTTTTTGAATGCACAGATAATCACAGAAATCATCGAGATGAAGGCTTAAGTTCTGCTTATTCAGTCTTCCCTTAGTTCTGCTCCAGGGTGATTTGGGCAGCAGAGAAGTATCCCAGCTGCACAGTTTGACCATCGACCCCATGGATGGTGCAGCTGTTCGAGCTAAGGCATCCCGAAACCGGCAAGACGTACTACTGGAACAAGGTTGGGTTGTGGGCATCCAATGTTTTTTTGTCATCTATGGAGTTTTTTTTTTGCATCTGTTATACACTCTCCCAGGAGACCAGTGAGAGCGTTTGGACACTTCCGACCCAGAAGCATGAAGGCACACTGCAACTTTTATAGCATGGCGATAGCATTTCTGTCTTCATGTTGCTGCTAGATTTGATGTGTTCTTTTCCAGGTGCAGGTTCACCAGAGAACCAGCCACAGCCATCTACACCTGGCACTGTGGGTGGCTTGAGACAGAGGTGTCCGCCGTAGCTTGACATCTTTTTTCTTTTTTTTTTTCGGGTCCCTTCGGGTCCCTTCGGGTCCCTTGGTAGCACTTGGCTTCTGAGGCAAGAAAGATGGGCAGATGTGCGAGACGGTCTCGCTATGGATCGCTTGGAAGATTTCGCGCCAGAACCTTCAGCTGGGCAGAGGACATTGCTGGCAGTTGTGGCTATTCATGGGTATAACTTAACCATGGTGATTTCCCCATATTTCACCTACATCAAGTTGGGACATAACCCCTATAGTCATGGCATATCATGGCTATATACCCAGTTATTAAGTGGAATGCACACCGAAGTACTGCTGCATACTGCATTTTTCATTGATGCACGAGTGAGATACTTTTGAATGGATTCTGTCTTCTAGTGAAACTTCCTCTTATCCTATCTATCCTATCTAGCCTATCTATCCTATCTATCGTATTTATCTTATCTAACTTATCTCTCTTATCTATCTTGTCTAACTTATCTCTCTTATTTGTCTTATCTGTCTTATCTATCTTATCTGTATTATCCCCTTATCTATCCTATCTATCCTATCTATCTTATCCATCTTATCCATCTTATCCATCTTATCTATCTAATCTATCTAATCTATCTATCTATCTACCTACCTACCTATCTATCTATCTATCTATCTATCTATCCAATCTATCCAATCTATCCAATCCATCCAATCTATCCAATCTATCCAATCTATCCTATCTATCCTATCTATCCTAAATACCTTATCTTTCTTATCTATCTTATCTTATCTTATCTTATCTTATCTAACTATCTATCTATCTATCTATCTATCTATCTATATATATCTATCTGTCTATCTATCTATCTATCTGTCTATCTATCTATCTATCTTTCTATCCATCCATCCATCCATCCTATTCATCCTATCTATCCTATCTATCCTATCTACCCTATCGATCTTATCTACCTACCTACCTACCTATCTGTCTATCTGTCTATCTATCTAATCTAATGGAATCTAATGGAATCTGATGGAATCCAATCTAACCTAATCTAATCTAAAATCTATAGATCTTATCTTATCTGATCTATCTGATCTATCTGATCTATCTGATCTATCTGATCTATCTGATCTATCTAATCTATCTAATCTATCTAATCTATCTAATCTATCTAATCTATCTAATCTATCTAATCTATCTAATCTATCTAATCTACCTAATCTATCTAATCTATCTATCTACCTATCTATCTATCTATCTATATCTATCTATATCTATCTATATCTATACATATCTATATCTATATCTATCTATATCTATCTATATCTATCTATATCTATCTATATCTATCTATATCTACCTATATCTACCTATATCTATCTATATCTATCTATATTTATCTATACCTATCTATATCTATCTATATCTATCTATATCTATTTATATTTATACCTATCTTTATCTATTTCTATATCTCTATCTATCTATCTGTCTTATCTTATCTTATGTTATCTTATCTGCCTTATCTATCTTATCTATCTTATCTATCTTATCTATCTTATCTATCTGATCTTTCTTATCTTTCTTATCTATCTTATCTATCTTATCTATCTAATCTATCTAATCTATCTAATAACCTATCTAATAATCTATCTAATAATCTATCTAAGAATCTATCTAATTTTCTATCTAATCTAATCTAATCTTATCTTATCTGATCTATCCATCTATATTTATATATATCTAATCTATCTAATCTAATCTATCTAATCTAATCTTTCTAATCCAATCTATCTACTCTAATTGATCTATCTGTCTATCTATCTACCTATCTACCTATCTACCTATCTACCTACCTACCTATCTATCTATCTATCTACCTACCTACCTATCTATCTATCTATCTATGTATCTATCTATCTTTCTATATCTATATCTAATCTATCTAATCTAATCTATCTAATCTAATCTACCTAATCTAATCTATCTAATCAAATCTATCTAATCAAATCTATCTAATCAAATCTATCTAATCAAATCAATCTAATCTAATCTGTCAAATCTAATCTGTCAAATCTAATCTGTCTAATCGAATCTGTCTAATCGAATCTGTCAAATCTAATCTGTCCAATCGAATCTGTCTAATGGAATCTGTCTAATCTAATCTGTCTAATCTAATCTGTCTAATCTAATCTGTCCAATCTAATCTATCCAATCTATCCAATCTATCCAATCTATCCAATCTATCCAATTTATGTGATCTATCCAATCTATCCAATCTATTTGATCTATCCAATCTATCCAATGTATCCAATCTATCCAACCTATCTATATATTTATCTATTTATCTATCTATCGATCTATCTATCTTTCTTTCTTTCTATCTATCTATCGATCTATCGATCTATCGATCTATCTATCTGTCTGTCTGTCTGTCTGTCTGCTGGTATTTGATGCCATCTGAAGCTTGAGAGTTTGCAATTTTTCTTTTGTTGGGTGCGTTCAGGACTTTACTTGTCTTCATGTCGCCTTATGCCCTTGTATAGTCTGCTCTGATTTTATGGCATATGTATGCAATGCGTTCCTTCATCTTTAGTTACTTTTGTCCTTGGAATGGCACCAACACTGACGCTGCAGGATCCTTGGCTCACTACATGGTAGACCAGGTCCCGGTGGTCCCAGTGGTTGTGGCTGTGGTCCGTGCCCAATGGGCCCCAGACCCATCAGCTCCACCTTCGGTCCCAGCCCCAGCGGCTTCGGTGCCTTCCAACCGCCGCGTGGATGTGGGGCCTTCGGTGGCTGCGGCGGCTGCGATGGATGTGGCTATGGACCTGGACCCGGACCCAGTGGACCCAGTGGACCCAGTGGACCCAGTGGACGGGGCCAAAGCTATGGAGCCAGAGCTGATGCCTTCGCAGTTGGCTATGACAGCTATGATGGCTTCGGAGCCAGAAATGCCTTTGGAGGCGCCGGGTGGCCGCGGCCACAGGTGGTTGTTGGTGGAATTCTCAGGAGTTTCACACCGACAGATGTGTCTCGTACTGATTGCGCTGGTCAGGAGGCATTGAGGCTCGTGAAGAGCCTCCATGGTGGAAAGGTGAGAACAATGGTGAGTGGTGGCAATCCTGGCATGTTTCCTCAGAGCATTGACCAATTTGACAATCTCTGGCATTGTCTGACTACATGCTGCAGGTCGCAGTGCCGGCAGCGCTTTCTCTATGAGGCGAGAGAAGTATGGCGTGGTCGCTTAGCGCATGTTTTTTTGAATTCCATTTGCAGGTCGGAGCCGTGAGAGGTGTTCGCAGAGCATCAAGAGATGTTTGGGAGGTACGACATGGATCGACATGGAGCCTTTCGCAAAAACATCACTTGATTGCCACTTGAATTGCTACTTGATTTTTTCACATTTTTGCTGTGCAATCTGCCGACTGTTCGCAGATGCTTCCAGAAGAAGTTGATCAGCGTAGAATGGCATTGTTGGAGTTTGAGTCATCTACAAGTGGAGTGCTCAAGATGGTAATGAACTTGATGATTTTGGCTTGGGGAGGAGCGAGCGAATCCAGGGTCCACACTCATGAGAGAGCTTTCAGCGCTGTTTCCTCTATCTTCTTACTTCTTCCATTCAAAATTGAATGCGGCTTAATCCGGTTGAATCCGGCTGAATTTGCTGAGGTGCAGCTTCAGTGTTTCCCGCTGACTTTTGCGTAGCTGGCGTTGTTGGAAGCTCGGAGAACACGATGCTCTTCCCTTTTCCGTTTGCTTGTCCATTGGGCGTTTCTGCATTTTTCCACAGGATCCTGATGGTCCGCGATCCACAGCAACGGTCAGTCCAGGCGAGTATTGCTTGTGGTTGCCTGTTCGACTGTGAGTTTCGGCTCCGACACCAGTTCTCGCGGATTTTGCAGGTTTCCTGGTGGCGGCTTTTGCTGACAGCCCCTATGATGTCTCGGATGTACACTTCCAAGCTGTGTCCAATGGACACAGAAAAGCTTTTTCAGCCGGATCCATACCATTGGTTGCCTTGTCAAGGCCCTGTGGAATTTGACGCATTCTTGGTGGGCCCTAGTCAAGGCGTGGACTAGGGCGTGGATGCATTGCTCTCTGCCGAAGTCTTGCAGTTGTTGACCAGTGGTGGGCATCGTTCCTTCCTCCCCCGATCAGTCTCCTTTGCACTTCTACCTCTTTGAATTTTTTCCGTTTCCACCGTTCATCCTCCCGACTTCCAACTCGTATTTTGATTCTCGGGGGAGCCCATTCCAGAAATCAGTCCCATCTTCCGAACGATTGTGATTTTGCTTGCTGGGATGCCTTCCTAAACCGCGATATGTGCATTCACCACCACCAGCATCATGGCCCCCACGGGGAATGGTTATGGTTCAAGATTATCAACTCCCCAAAATGGATGGTTTCAGAAGTCTTATGGACCAAGAATCTGAAAAAATGTGGATCTACGGATATCCCAAGGACTTGACCCATACCCTGACCCCCTGGTGCTGAAAGGCAACGACCCGCCTGGTGACACTTGTCTTTGTGACTGGCCTGGGTGAGCGCGGCGAGGTGCCCGAGCTTCGATGGTCCTTGGTGTTGAAGATTGCTGGAGCTGAGACTAAGACACGTTTTATGATGATGATTGTGATGGTGATGATTGATGAGTATCATGACATATCATTACGTATTACTATATACTATCATCATTACTGCTGTCATTGCTACTAGTACCATTGATTATGCAAAAGCTGTCGAAGGTGTGACAACTTGCAGTTTGAGCCATTCCTTGGACTCTGGCCCAAGCCTTTGTGGGGTCATAACAAGAGCTTGACATCTACGACGTGTTTTTGCGGGCCGCGGTCCCAGTGCTGCTCGCTTTGCGACGAGCCCAGGGTGAGTGGCTCGCCATGGCAGAAAAGAAAGATGATAAGAAGGGAGGAGACAAAGGTGGAAAGAATTCTCCCATGCCATCATCTTCAGTTATGAGTGGTCAGGAGACGCCTGAAGCAAGGTCCGAAGTGTACAAGAATCCGGATGCGGCTGGGGCAGCTGAGGAGGTTCCGCCAGATGATGAGGAGGTGCATCAAGCCACTCCAAAGTCAAAGATTGGCATGGAAACCCCGAAAGAAGGCAGCAAGAAAGGCGATGACAAGGACGACCCTACCAAGGGCAAATTTGCCAGCAAGGTTGCCCAGAACCGTCTGAAGAAGGGCAAAGAGAAGACCAAGGGTGCCAAGACCAAGGGCGCCAAAAACAAGGACAAGGACAAGGGCAAGACGAAGTCTGCAAAGAAGAAGGATGAAAAGAATACAAAGAAGGATGACAAGAATACAAAGAAGGATGACAAAAAGGGCAAGAAGAACCAGCCAGACAAGCACCCCAAGGGCACGAAGACGGATGGTAAATACATCAAGCCAGGAAAGCGCACGAAGGATGGCACTGATCTGGAGGGTGAAGTGACTCCTGTCACGGTCGACAAGGGAAAAGAACGAACTCGTCTGAGAACAACAAAGAGAGGGAAGCTGACTCAGGTGAAGCATGCAAAGAACAAGCCAGCGAGCTCTCGTCGTGCAGGCTGCATCTTCCCAGTGGCTCGGATCCATCGCTTCCTCAAGGGCTATGCAACTGCCAAGTGTCGTGTTGGTGGCTCTGCTGGTATCTTTACGGCAGCAGTCATGGAATACCTAGCAGCAGAGGTGCTGGAGCTTGCAGGCAACGTTGCTGCGGACTACCATGTGAAGCGCATCACGCCAAGGCATTTGCAGATTGCCATTCGTGGGGACGAGGAGCTGGCAAGTCTCGTGAAGGCTACCATTGCTGGAGGAGGTGTTGTGCCCAACATCAACAAGGCTTTGTTCCCAGGTGTCCGTCTCAAAGAGTCTGAGAAGTACAGTGTCAAGCCATCGAGCCGTCGAGCTCGAGGTGTGGAGCCTGGGGATGATGCATCTGTGAGTGGCGCTGTCTCGACAGGAGCTTCCAGCACAGGTGCCAAGAGTGTGCGTCACACTTCACCTCCGACCTCCCCTGTGGTCGGCGAGTACTGAGCTGATGCTGAATCAGCGTTCCGGGGATTGCCACGTCTATTAGAGACCTGTGCTCAAAATTTGATGATTTGCTGTAAGTTTCCTTGAAATGACATTCATGATCCAATGGGAATTTGATCAGAGCTGCCAATCAAAGAGCAGAAAAAAGAAAGCCGGCAGAGACATGCAGCATGGATCTTAGGAATCTTAGGTCTATTTTGGTCTTCAGGTGAGTCTCAGGTTTTCAGGTTTGATTGAAAATAGGGTACCTGGGCCCGGGTACCCCCAAGAAATGTCCATTTTGACTGCCAGGATGCCGATGAGGAGACCAGCTTCCTGGAGCTGCAGCGTCGTTGTCTCATGCAGGAGCGGAGTGGAGCGGAGCGATGTGGAAGGATTGGTGAACAAAGGGTTAACAGAGGGACATAGGGGTCAACATAGGGGTTAATATAATGGAATTACCCAAAATTGTGTTAACCCCCATTGGTCAACATACCCATTGTTAATTCCATTGGTTAACCATTGGTTAATATACCCGTTGTGAGGAATTCCTAATGGTGAGATGACCAAAAGCCATTCCATGCAACTTCACCATGGCAAGAAAGGTTCCATGTCCCAATCACTGGGACGCAACAGAGTGACCATTCTGGACTGCTTAGTTTGATTCTGGAAGGTGTACTTTGGTTTCTAACCATTGGACTCATCGTTTGTAGCAGCATAATTCTTCTGAGGCATGATGGCTTGACTTCGTTGGAAGAAAACATGAATCCTTGCTGTCTCCTGAAATCGTTGCAGTCTCCTGCACCAATCATGTTTGCGGCGCAACGCCTCACCAATGCAGGCAAGGCTGCGGAAATGTAACCAAAGGGCTGTTCTGTACAGGACATACAAAAGCAGACAAAAAGATCTTGCACTTGAAGAAAGGATGGAGAAAGTTGGCTTTAAGACTGAAAGATATTTGGCCAAAGAATGTGCATCGTGTTGTGATTCATCTTCACGCCTCTTGTGAGCAAGAGGGAATACACTGACCATAGCGGTTGACAAGATAGTGGACTGGGGATCTGGCGAGCAGCACTCCACGTGCGGCAGCGGTCCAAGGGACAGGCAGCACAAAATCAGACTGCCCATTTTGACGAAAACGTTATCATGCAAGATATGAAGCCAGCATTAGAACACTGAATTGCCAAAGGGCTTGGTGGACCCCTAGGGTCTACGATCTTTGATTGTGCTCACATGGATTAAAGACTGTTGACCATCACTCTCCGGACAAATTCATAGATCTGAACACAACAGTGCAAGATAGTGCAAGCCCCACTTCGTGCTCGAAGCAAAGTTTGACTGCCACACATGCAACCCAATCCGAAATCTACCAGACAGCTGTATATCCATTGAATTCAGCATTGACTTGACTCAGTAGGGTTGGGAGTTGCACAAAGCAAACCGTGGCCAGTTCCTGCCAAGAGTGATGACAAAAAAACCAGGTCCATTGAACTTCTCTTTTCTAGCTTTTCCTTGCCAAAAGCAACAGCAGAAGTATTCATGGCATGCTTCAAAGAACACGAATCTACAGGCATCAGATATCATCAGATATCAAAAGATTTTCATGAACTATCATGAAATATCATGAAATTGGGATTTCCGCAAAGACTCAGCAAAGGGACCCCAAAACGCGCCAGGCAAGCGGCCGCGCCTCTTAGGAGGATGGCAAGTCTCCAAAGCACACCGCGACCAGGTGCTGACTGGGGGAACCTCAAAAACCATGGCTTTCCCCATGGTTTCCCCAGTAAAACATATATATAGTAAAACTATGTAAAACTCGCAATTCTTGGATGATCCTGAGCGCTTTTACTTTTGGGGTCCTACATTTTATGACACCCTCATGTGTGTGGTGATGGTTTTTCTTCATAGAATTGTTGCATTTGGATGTATTTGGATAGTTGGGTTCATGTTTCACCACAAGCTAATAGTCACTGCCTATTGTGGTCTAGCCCATCTCCGTTTGGAATGTCAGGCCAATGAATGGCTGCACCCTGGGAGTTGGTGGCCAAGAAGCGGAGGCAGCCCTGCGCTGACGGCACTCCAAGTTGTTTTTTTTGGTAGGTGCTCAGCTCATTCCTTTTCGAACATGTCAATCAAACTAATGAGGGGTGGTTGAATGTCATTTCCATCCCTGGGATCTCAAATGAGAGTTTTATGATCTTCAAGAGCTTTCGTCAGATGCGAAATGTAGGCCACAACTGGGGACCCAAAGCGGCCCCTCGCGAGCGCGGAGGAGGCCCGAGACTTGACGTGACTTCGTGACTTCGTGACACATATTGGGTGCAGCGAGTGATAGAGGGATTGACTCCTAAAAGAGTAAGACCCTATGTACTTGTTCTAACTTTTGTTCATGTGTGTGATAAGTTATATGATATGATATAATATTATATATATATATGATTATATATGCATTGGAAAAA